TTGCTCACCTCTAATTCAGAGGTGGGCAACTCCTGGTCCTTGAGGGATGGTCTCCTGCAACTTTTAGATGTGTCTCCACTTCAACACACCTGAGTGAAATGATGAAGTCATTAGCAGGACTCTGAAGAACTTGACTGCATTTAGGAGGTGATTGAGCTTTTGGACTCAGGTGTGTTGGACCAGGGAGCCATCTAAGAGTTGCAGGACAGCAGCCCTTGATGACCAGGATTGCCCACCCCTGCACTATATCTTTAATATAGCTATAGCTCATCTGCTAAGGGCAGGGTTGCTCAAGTCCAGTCCTCGAGAGCTACCATCCTGCAACTATGAGATGCATCCCTGCTCCAACACACCTGAATCAAATGAATGGTTCATTACCAGGCCTGTTCATAGCTGATCTCTGTCTGCTGGAGTAAGGCTGCATCTAAAAGTTGCAGGACAGTAGCTCTCCAGGACTGGACTTGAGCTCCCCTGGCTAAGGGTAATTCAGCAAAGGGTTTGCCAACCAATTGAGGGACAGCTGTAGAGTCAGAATCATATGAAAAATAAAAAGTTTGATTGATTTGGTTTACAAAGAAGTTACTTATTCTATTTTTTAAATGTTTAATAACATTTTGATTGTTACAGAATCTCATAATTCTTTACAAAAAATATTTCTAAATTGTGAAACAGTTTTAAATTGTAAGCATTGAGTGAATAAAAGACTTATTTCATAAACTAGAATATGACTGAAAAGTTCCTTTGTCAGCAGTTCCATCACCAAGTGAAAGACATTATATAATTAGATAACTTCTGTTTTAACATATTTATATTTCATTCTATGTTTAATACATGCTGAAGTTTATTTTTGAAAGGTACTATTAATCTGATGAGTACGTATGATCAGGATGTATGTCCAAATCTTTGAATAAGACTGTTCACATGAAAGTTTTGGCTTCATTCTTTGCTCTAAAAAAAGAAAAGGCCCTCCAGTGACTGGGTGCATCAGCGTATCCCACTCCTCCTCGTACTCACCAACTTGCAACACAAAGTCACACCCTCAGTTTAGCATGAGTTAATTCCTGGGAGAACTCAGAGTCTCTCTCTGGACAAATATCGGACAGCCAATATATAAACCATGAGGCTGTTTGTGAACAAGCAGCTGATCACTTTTTAAATGATAACGAAGCTCAGCCATATGCTGAGCTGAGGATGCTGCCTGGACCCAATGAAGAGATGCAGAGACTGTAGCTCTTTGGGAAACTCTCCATTAGCTTTGTTTCCGTAAAATCTGTTTTGTGTTTGATAAAAATTTTCTTTTATTTATATTAGCCTTCCTGTAGGTGTTTTCAGTTCCACATGTCACAGAGGGACATTGCAGACAAATACATATACATTCTTTATAAGAAACTAGTTCACCTAAAATTACAGAACTTTGTATGATGTTTTGCCCTTAATGATTCTGAGGAGTTAGAAAATGGGAAAAAATTATGTTCAGTCACAATAATTTAGAAAATGTAAAGGACTGGATAATCTGCTGTTTTAGCACATGTGGGGGTGTTCAAGGGTGTGTGTGTGTGTGTGTGTGTGTGTGTGTGTGTGTGTGTGTGTGTGTGTGTGAGTGTGTGTGTGTATGTGTGTGTGTGTATGTGTGTGTGTGTTTGTGTGTATGTGTGTGTGTGTGTGTGTGTGTGTGTGTGCTGGTTTATCTATCATTATGAGGACTTAATCTTGTCAAACAACTGACATTGTTGGACATTTATAGCTGTGAGGACATTTTGCCATGTCCGACAATAAAAACATATTTTTGAGTTAGGTTGGGATTAAGGAGGGAATTAAGTGGCTCAGGGGAAATGTCAAGATCATAGAATTGATGGGAGTCAGTACAAGTGAATAAACGTGCACTGAAACAGGAGTGTGTTTGTGTGTGGGGGTGGAGTTCAACAAAGGCGGTGTTTACTCAGGGCTGCATGTACACTGGAGCCGCTGCTGGCTGTGAAGAGAACAATAGTCAGACTGAATGTTGAACATCAGCTGCTTTCTCCTGCTGATTTAAACCTTGTTGGACAGATGGAACATTGGCTGTGGATTATTCTGGCTGCTCTTTTCTCTGGTAAGATACAAAGATGTTTCCTCTACATGAGTCTTTAAAGCTGCTGATTGTTCTCCTTTAATCAATCATCTTTATTGATCCTTCTCTTCCTCTGCATGTTCTGTTCTTCCCAGAGTGTAAAGGAGACTCAGTGAAGCAGACAGGAGGAGAAGTTGCTGCAGCAGCAGGAGAATCACTGACTCTGGGATGTACTTATGAGACCAGTGTTTATTCAACGGTTTACCTCTTCTGGTATAAGCAAGACGAAAACAGTTTCCCAAAGTACATGCTGAAACGATTCTCATCAACAGGAGATAATGCTGCAGATTTCAGAAAACAAATTTGATGCTGAACTCAACACTGACAAGAAATCAGTCAATCTGACGATCCAGGATCTCCATCTGTCAGACTCTGCTGTGTACTACTGCGCTCTGCAGCCCACAGTGACAGGAAACACCAGAACCCTGAACAAAAACTCCACAGCAGCCACTAGAGGGACTCATGAGTCAGGGTGCAGGTCCATAAGGTATTGGTATAGCAAACACGAAACATACACACTTCCTGCATATAAACATCCCCAAACCTTAAACTCATTGCCTCTGCTGGCCCCCATCCTTCTGTTGTCCATGTTTCTTTATGTGCAGAGGTATTTTGCAGCCCCAAACTGTATCTGCTTTGCACAATGACAATAAAGGCATTCTGACTGTATCATGGGAAAAAAGCTCTCAGAACAAGTTATGTTACCTCTTCAATTATGGTCGCCACTTCACAACCAGGACAGGATGTTAAGAGTTCCAATGGACTGGGAGAAAGATGAAAATCACCTGACCAGGTCCTTGGCAGAAGTAAAGAATGAGGTAACCTTGGTGCAGTTAAAGCTAACCAGAGGCTGAACTTGTAAATTTTTTTCCTGTAAACTTTACCAGTTCCACTTTATACCACTTTATAATCACCCAGTAGCCTAGGATGAACAGCTTCACTCTTATGGGTATTTTCTCTTCCCTTTCTTGAAACTAAGTCACAAAAATCTGCCCTAAAGGTTTTAGGAAATTTTCTGTTTTCATAAGCTAACAGCAGTTAAGCTAGCTGTGACTAACCTGCTGATATAGAACTGTGAACAGTGAATCAATTCTAATAAAATCCCAATTAGGTCTTAAACGATTCCTTGAATGACTCGAGTTCCTTGATTATTAAAATTCCTCCAGAAAAATTTACCTGCGTGTGAGCTTCACTAATTCATGTTTTATTATTTAGCACTGTGTTCCAGCGGGGACATTATTAGTTTTACATGGAGCTCTGACTTCTCTGAGTTGTTGGTGAAAGCCAAGTGTTAGCAGCATAACCTCAAATTTTCAAGTTCAGCCTGAGGGGATTTTATTAATCGATGATAATCCAGGTTTTCATCTTTTGGGGACCAATAAACATCCTTAAAATGACGGGTGCGCTGCCTGGAGTCCGGCAGCTTTTCTCCTCGGAGCTGCTGGTTCAGAGCAAACAGTGGGAAGAGCTGCAGGAGTATTGATGCAGGTAGAGGACGGACTGAACACGGCGGGCGGCTCCAGACGTAGCTTTACAATGAACCGCATAATAAGTTTCATATCATCCTGGTCTGAACAAAAGGGAGGTGGAGCATCATGGTGGCTAATGGCTGGTAGTTTCTGAATGTGATGAACGAAGGTGCCATAAATATCCCGTATTGCTGCCAGGTGTTTTGTTCATTCATTCACTCGCCTGCGCCCACCACCCGCCACCTCCAGGTGACATTTCTGTATCTTCAAACCCAAAGCTCGACAAGTTTGGGGAAAGATCACAGTTCATCTATTAAACTGACTGACAATGAATACATAAACTAAGAGCTGGAGTATAGACATTTTTTATGCACATTTGTGAGCCTGCCTTCTTTATTATTAAATTGAATATAATTTCAGATTCTTGTATAACTTCCTTAATGTTAAGTCTCAATGTTTTATTTCAACCAGGAAACAATATGGAACAAATTTAAACCTTTGATTATCAGAATTTAGTTGGAAGAAATTGTCAACCATCCAGCATTTTAGTAAATAATAAACCGTCAACAGTTTTTTTTCATAGAAACCAGCGTAACGGTTTGATACTGAGAACTTTAAAACCAGCTGAAGCTGAGAGGAGGAGAAGAAGGAGGAGGAGGAGGAGGAGGAGAAGGAGGAGGAGGTAGAGGAAGAGGAGGAGGAGGATGAAGAGGGGGAGGAGGAGGAGGAGGAGGAGGAAGAGGAGGATGAAGAGGAGGAGGAGGATGAAAAGGGGGAGGAGGAGGAGGAGGAGGAGGAGGAGGAGGAGGAGGAGGAGAAGGAGGAGGAGGTAGAGGAAGAGGAGGAGGAGGATGAAGAGGGGGAGGAGGAGGAGGAAGAGGAGGATGAAGAGGAGGAGGAGGATGAAGAGGAGGAGGATGAAGAGGAGGAGGAGGAAGAGGAGGATGAAGAGGAGGAGGAGGAGAATGAAGAGGAGGAGGAGGATGAAGAGGAGGAAGAGGAGGATGAAGAGGAGGAGGAGGAGAAGGAGGAGGAAAAAGAGGAAGAGGAGGAAGATGAGGAGGATGAAGAGGAGGAAGATGAGGAGGAGGAGGATGAAGAGGGGGAGGAGGAGGAGGAGGAGGAGGAAGAGGAGGAGGAAGAGGAGGAGGATGAAGAGGAGGAGGAGGAGGATGAAGAGGAGGAGGAGGAAGAGGAGGATGAAGAGGAGAGGAGGAAAAAGAGGAGGAGGAGGAAAAAGAGGAAGAGGAGGAAGATGAGGATGATGAAGAGAGGAAGATGAGGAGGAGGAGGATGAAGAGGAGGAGGAGGAGGAAGATGAGGAGGAGGAAGAGGAGGAGGAGGAGGATGAAGAGGAGGAGGAGGAGCTGGTCTGTTCCTGAACTCTAAAGAGACTCAAACTTCCTCCTTCAGCTCAACTCTCCAACATTAACTCTGCTCAACATGCTGTCTCTGCTCACATCTGGATTCACTCTGCTGGTTCTGATCACTGGATCAGGTTGGTTGGAGTCTTTCAGAGAATAATCTCATCCTTGTTGTTCTTCACTTACATCAGTTCTTTCTTCCTTCAGGTGTAAACTGCCAACAACTCACTGCAGCAAAGACTGAGGAGTTCAGTTCAGAGGGCAGCTCTGTTACTCTGACCTGCAGTTACTCTAAAACTGCTGTTTATGATGATTATATCTTCTGGTATCGTCAATATCCTGGAAAATCTCCACAGTTCCTGATCTCCCACTCAGGAACAGGAACACAAACATCTCAGCCGTTTCCTGGTTTCTACTTCAACATGAATGATGATAAAACCCAGATGGATCTGCTGATCTCCTCTGCTGCAGTGACAGACTCTGCTGTGTACTACTGCGCTGTGAGGCCCACAGTGACAGGAAACACCAGAACCCTGAACAAAAACCTGCAGTACTGCACAGCAGCCACCAGAGGGCGCCATGCTCCAGTAGGCGGCGCTCTCCTTGTGCTCTGTGCTCCAGCATTGTGTCAATAAGAAGTGGTGCTGTGAAGAGAACAATAGTCAGACTGAATGTTGAACATCAGCTGCTTTCTCCTGCTGATTTAAACCTTGTTGGACAGATGGAACATTGGCTGTGGATTATTCTGGCTGCTCTTTTCTCTGGTAAGATACAAAGATGTTTCCTCTACATGGAGTCTTTAAAGCTGCTGATTGTTCTCCTTTAATCAATCATCTTTATTGATCCGTCTCTTCCTCTGCATGTTCTGTTCTTCCCAGAGTGTAAAGGAGACTCAGTGAAGCAGACAGGAGGAGAAGTTGCTGCTGCAGCAGGAGAATCACTGACTCTGGGATGTACCTTTGAGACCAGTGGTACTAATTATGCCTTGTTCTGGTACAAACAAGAAGAAAACAGTTTCCCAAAGTACATGCTTAAGCAATACTTCACAACGAGAGATAAAGCTCCAGAGTTCAACAACAACAGATTCAATGCAGAAATCAATGATAAGACATTCAACCTGACGATCCAGGATCTGCATCTGTCAGACTCTGCTGTGTACTACTGCGCTCTGCAGCCCACAGTGACAGGAAACACCAGAACCCTGAACAAAAACCTGCAGTACTGCACAGCAGCCACTAGAGGGCCTCATACATCAGGTTACATTAACATGAGGTGCAGCAGCATCTTCATCTGGTTCCCTCCAACAGTTCAAACTGGGAGAAGTCAGTGGAAACCAGTGGAAGCAGTTAGGAAACCTACTGGTCTAACCAGTAGCTACTAGTGGATAAAGCACTCGGTTTAATAACCTGAGTCAAAGTGTTGATCCTCCTGGTTAAATAATACTTCAATAAAAGCAAATGTATTTCTGCCAAATTACTACCAAGTATGTGCTTTGAAAAACATTTCAGTAGTGAAAGTATTTAAAACTGGAGGCTTATTGGACACATGTATAACTCCAAATATATAATTATAGTGTGTTAGTGTTATACGGTGCTTTTCTGGTCTCTTTATGATGTCATGCAGTATTCAGTCAGCTTCAGTCGGTTCTGGACCCATCCGGGTCACCACATCTATATCTGATACCGGCGAGGCTCGGTGAACCTTCATGCCCACGCACCACAACCTTGCTCAGCCAGGGATTTGAACCAGCACCTCTCAGCTCAGTTAACTTTCTATTGTCACCAATTCAATGTGTTTCTAGAAACACATTTTGAAGTTTATTTGGTAGAAATCCATTAATAGAACAAGCGGACTAAGAGTCTGAAAGCCTAAAGTCTTCACTGAGTCGTGTTCATGTTCACATCAGGATCTAAACAACAGGAGAGCTGGAACTTTTGGTTTGTCCTCAGAAAACACTAGAAATAAAATGAACAGGTTGAACTCGTGGTGGATCAGAAACCGGCTGTGGATCTGAACAGCCCTGCATGATTGAGGATCTCCTGCTTCAGCTCGGCTGATTTCACTCTGAATCAGGCGGATGAAAGCAGAGAAACGTGGAAACCAGCCTGGAGGATGAGAGCTGGGAGACGCTGCTGCCTGGTCACCATGATTACCAGCATTTAACGCGCGGCTAGCATGTTGTCAGTTTTACTACAACTGTTTAACTTGACATGATATATGTTACCAAACCGACATTAGTGAACGAGTCTTAATGACCCGTCAGCAGATAAATGATCCATAAATGATTAACGATATTAAAGCAATTTATTAAAGCTCTCAGTTACATATGTGGACTAAATAAGATAAAAATAAACACAGTGAGCAATAAGGGCTCCAGGACAAGGGTTTCCTAAAATGTATGTTTTTGTTATATAAGAAACAATTTAATATTTAGCAAGCAAAGACATGAAATGGAATAATTTGGTCATAATTGGCGGGAAACGAAGATGCAGCTGAACTGGGAAGTAGAGTTTTCCAGTTCAGTTGGTTTAACTGGGAAAAAACGAGATAAAAACATGATCAGTATTTTATCAATATAAATACTGTAAATAATTAGAATATTATATTCTGAGCTGCATTTAGCAGCTGCTGAGCGACGTGACGATGATCCGTAAGGAAACCCGAGCAGGACCAAAACGATTCTTCTTCTTCTTCATCTTCTTGGTTTTACTGGCGCTTGGCAACAAACTGGTAGTAGCTTTACTGCCACTTACTGGTATGGAGTGTGGTTCATGATGATATATATATATATATATAAATATTCCACCAGAAAGACAAAAAAACAAATCAATATATCCTACCTACACATATAAATATATATATATATACACACACATATGTAAATATACATACTTATACATAACTTTGTATTCTACCCTCTATATCATTCACAAACACATCTACTATAATCAAATTCTATGAAATAGAGTTTTCTTTAAAAATAACTATTTGTTTATGTTTCTCCCCAAATTCTTCCTCTAAATATCTAATAATTTAATCTTTTCCTTATTACATGAAAACTCTCTTCTCTCTCTCTTTTCATATTTATGACATTCTAGTTTAACATTCTCTATTGCTTCATATTTTCCACAGTAATTGTTTAAAATATGAAACATAGTTTTATTAAAGTTATGCTTTTGAATTTTAAAAAGTGAATAAATAAGTCCTGTATGTTCAGATCTTAACCTTGTTGTGTCTTTTTCCTCCTTTCTTCTTTTTATAAAAGCATTTTCCTGTTTTTTCTGCATTCCTCCTGTTTGCCATTTTATCTGCCTTCTCGTTTCCTTCCACTCCAAAATGCTGGAATAATTACTATCAAACCCAGATTTTATATTCTGAACAATGTATGCAAAATGTCCATCCTTCGATCTGATGGATTATATTTTAAACTTAATAATGCAGAGCCTGAATCTGAACATGTTACTACAATATTATATGTTTTTAATGCTATTATGACTTCTACTCATTGTAAAGCTAGTAATATTTCTCCTGTGTAAACTGAACCGTCTGTCATTCGTTTTCCTATTTTTATATTCAGTTCTGGTTCTACAAAAACTATTCCTAGTTATTATTGATGCATCTGTCTGGATTTGAATATATTGAGAATTGTTTAATTGATAAATTATCAATTATATATTGATAATTGTACTGAATAATTATCTATGATAAAATAGTTACGTTGTTTCTTTTCCATTATTGACATATCTATTGTTGCTCCTGGTAGAATCCACGCTGATATTATTGATGTTGGTTTTGATTCATTTCTAAATTCATTTCAAATTCTTTTTTTTTTTTCAATTGTCCGTCCAAAACTCCTCATTTCTTCCCTTCTTTTTTCCCCAACATGGATTTATCCAACCAAGAGAAGAAGCAGCTTTCAGCATCTATGGACCAAAACTTTGGAACAAACTTCCAGAAAACTGTAAAACAGCGGAAACCCTGACTTCCTTCAAATCTCAAGTAAAAACGCACCTGTTTAGAGTTGCATTTGAAATGTAATATGTATGGATTTGATTTTGTGGATATGTATGTAATTTTTTTTTCCTGTTGTGGGCAACGGGGCCCGGCGAATACCCGTGGTTAAACGGACGGCGGAGTCCGGCGGTAACAGGCGCTCAAATTCCGTGTCAAAGGGAAGGGGGAAGAAAGGGGAAGAAAGGGAAAGAAAGGGAAAAAAGAGGGAAAAAAAAACCTTGATATTTTATTCTATGTTGCATGCCTTTGTGTTTTGTGTTTATGATGTAAAGCACTTTGAAATGCCTTGTAGCTGAAATGTGCTATACAAATAAAATTTGATTGATTGATTGATTGACTATTAATAATAATAGTCTTTCTACTGATATTGTGATATTTTCTTCAGCTTTGCTGTGGATTTTGACTCGTTGTTTGTTCACTATCTTGTTTTCTGTTGCTTCACATTTTAGCTGCTGCTGCATAGTTTATGTTTTTAGTCATTTTAATTTGAATGATTTCTTTTTCCTTACTTCACATCCTCCATATGCATCTCTCTGTTTCCCTCCACAGTTACAAGTTTTCTTGTTCTTCACATCCTCCACATTTTGGACTCTCTGCTTCCTTTACAGACTGCTGCTATGTGACCTTTGACCTTTGAAACAATGAAGTGGTGCAGGGATGCAAGGAGAAAAATTATTTTGATGTTTCTTTTTCTTGAAATTCAATAAAGAAACTTCCTACTTTTTCTCCGTTTATTGTTTTTGACAATCTCTTCCAGTTTTTCACTTTTGCACCAACAATATTTCTCTTGATTTGATCAAGATCTTCATCCAGAGGGATGCCATAAATCACTCCTCTGATTTTTGTTTTCTTTTTCATTTCTCTTGACACCACAACGAGGCTGATGTTATCCTGTTCTTCATGAGTTTTAATATTATTTTAAATTCATCCCTCACAACTTTCCTCCTAGCATTTCTTCCTCTGGACTATTTCCTTCCAGTTTTCGTTCACTGCACTAAATATCACTAATTCCCTCCTTCATCTATTTTATTTCTCCCTCTTCCTCTCTCCAACCTTCACAATCCAAGTCTTCCTCATCTTCTCTCTCTATTTCCATCCAAACCATTCACATACCAGTTTTGCCCAAATGCAGCATGTTTTTGTGTTTCCCACGATGTTGCTGCAGCTGATGGTCTTCTTCTCCTTCCTGCAGCTGGTTTACAGCTGGACATCGCCACCTGCTGGCTGTGGCACATAAATTTGCTGGAGTGAAACAAAATGGACAAAAACAAGCTCAACACAACAAGAAACTTTAAATTCTTCTCAAACCCCGAAAAACTGAACTTGGGTCGGGACTGAAGTAAATGTATTTGTTAGAGATAAACATCGGGTTATATTTCACCATCGATCTGAAATCTTTCTTTCTAACAATGATCCCAGTTTTTAAAGGTTTCTCTAATATTTCTGCAAACAGCAGGGAGCAGCAGGGAATGTTTGATCTGAAATCACTTTAGGATATTTTTTATGATGAGACAAACAGTTTATGCTTCCAACTGACCTAGAAATAAGATTATAGATCTTCAGACAAAATCCCAACAGCCTGGTTCTGATCAATACCTTAAATAAGAAAGTTTGTTATCCAACAAATATTTGCTTATTGACCCAAAACTCCAAATTTTTTCCTTGTTAGGATGGAAAAGTCCTCATGTGACTTCAATGAAGCAGCAGAGAGTCATAATGAGACAAAACTTTATCCAGACACTTTGCTCTGTTAACTTCTCCAGATTCAGAGGAGTCTTTATTTGAGGTATTTTATCATCTGAAATAAAACTTTATATTTCCATTAGAAAGCAGGTGAAGCTGAGAGGAAGAGGAGAAGGAGGAGGAGGAGGAGGAAGATGAGAGGATGAGGGAGGAGGAGGATGAGGAAGAGGAGGAGGATGAGGAGGAGGAGGAGGAGGAGAGGAGGAGGAGAGGAGGAGGAAGATGAGGAGGAGGAGGAGGAGCTGGTCTGTTCCTGAACTCTAAAGAGACTCAAACTTCCTCCTTCAGCTCAACTCTCCAACATTAACTCTGCTCAACATGCTGTCTCTGCTCACATCTGGATTCACTCTGCTGGTTCTGATCACTGGATCAGGTTGGTTGGAGTCTTTCAGAGAATAATCTCATCCTTGTTGTTCTTCACTTACATCAGTTCTTTCTTCCTTCAGGTGTAAACTGCCAACAACTCACTGCAGCAAAGACTGAGGAGTTCAGTTCAGAGGGCAGCTCTGTTACTCTGACCTGCAGTTACTCCAAAGGTTCAGCTAATTATTTATTCTGGTATCGACAAAATCCAGGAAAACATCCAGAGTTCCTGAAGTCTCAATCAACTTCAGGTGAAGCAGAACATCTGGACAGGATGACATTTATAGGAAGCAAAGAAGAAATGTCCATGACGATCTCCTCTGCTGCAGTGACAGACTCTGCTGTGTACTACTGCGCTGTGAGGCCCACAGTGACAGGAAACACCAGAACCCTGAACAAAAACCTGCAGTACTGCACAGCAGCCACTAGAGGGCCTCACTCCCTGTTAATCCACTAAAACCTGCAGTACTGCACAGCAGCCACTAGAGGGCCTCACTCCCTGTTAATCCACTAAAACCTGCAGTACTGCACAGCAGCCACTAGAGGGCCTCACTCCCTGTTAATCCACTAAAACCTGCAGTACTGCACAGCAGCCACTAGAGGGCCTCAGACTGTGTGGACCTGAGGCTTCTCTGTAGAAACTTTCTGAACCTCATGCAAAGCTGCTTCTGCTCCAGTTTGTGCAGCAGATCTAAGTGAATGGGAGGAACCGTTATAAGCCGCAGGTTGATGAGCGTCTGGACGTCTGCTGGTCCAAACCAGCTGCTGGATTAAGGCAGAAACTGAAGCCTCAAGACTAAATACCAAAATGAAGTTAATTATAGATGGTATTTAGATTGTTTATCAGAAATACAAATAATTAAAATTAAATGTATTTTGATTTTTTTATCAAAAATTTTATTCAAACTGGATAAAATTAACTCTGTTCAACATGTGCTATTATATTTTATCTAAACTGATGGGTTTTTTTTGTTTCTATTTTCCTATAGTTTAAACAGAATCCAAGGTCTTGTAATGTTCAGAAAGACATTGTTAATGAGCCTGTAAATAATGTTTTAGCATCATTATATTTCTCTATTCTTGTATTGGTCTGTTCGTTATTTCTCTTTTTTTTACCATATTGTATTTAAAGTGGGTTTCTGTGTCTGTGGTTTAATGGTTTACGTTTTTCTGTGTTGCTGTGTTTGAGCAGATTAATCTTGAAAAAGAGATTTTTAATCTCAGATATTTACCTGACTGAATAAAACAACCTATTCTGTCATATGATAAATTGTGTCCCATATTTAAATATGAATCATTCTGACCTGTGAAAACAACATGAAGCCTTACAGTGAATAACAAGCATGAGGTTTGATTCTGAAACATAAATTCTGATTATAGTTTTAATCTGTTAATATGAAACAACTAACAGATTAAAACTGGTAAAAAGAAAATGGCAGAGAGCTGTGACTGGCGTGTTCCTGCAGCCAGGCTCACTGGGACAAAATGACATTATTTATGATTTAAACATAAAATCTAGAACAGCTCGGGTTTAGGCGGTTCCTCCGCTCGCGGAGCGGATGAAGCCAGAAACGGATCAGCGGTTTATGGAAGCTGTGATAAAACATTTTATCTCAGGGATGTTTTCTGTTTGCATCTTAAAACGACTCGGCTGAACTTTGGCGACCGGTTGATATCGTTTCGTTTCTGCAGAGCTCACAATGCGCCGGCACAGGTTTATCCACATCATTAAAGTTCATTGGACACTTTTAAAACCCTAGAAATTAGAACACAGGATCCACTGAGTTGGTCTTTTGGCATTACAGGCGATGATTTATTATTACTGTGTGAAACTATTTATTAGATCAAAGTGTTGCCAAGCTAAATTGGGTCCATTGGAAAAAAGACGCTCCAATGAACTGCAAACGTAATAATCTGAAAACTAGAAAATGTGACGGTGAAACAGCTTTGCTGCCTTTTGTTTCGATCTGCAACCAAACCGATGAACCGGTTCCTGAATCAGTCACCTGGTTCAATACGAAGCTTCAGACGTCACAACCTGCTGCATCAACACAAGCTTCATAAAACCCTCCTGATTGGTCGACACGCTCCGAGGCCTCGGCACTGAAAACACGTCACGGCTTTTTATAAGCGTTTCATGATTCATCGCCAGGATTCCAGCTCCAGTCTGCATTTTGACTCCTCCAACTGCGTCATGTTTCACTGCACAAACAGCCAAAACATTTTCAATTTGCTAGTGGTTATAGTTTATCTTACAATATGATTAGAAGATTTGCTGCATGATTTCTTGTTGATAACATTCATGTCAGAGTATAATGGCGGATGGGATCAGCATCATTAATCCTCAGGTTATAAATAATACAAAACAATAGCAAATGAAACAGAAAGACCTGTTTGAAGAAACTCAGGTATTCACTGATTTTATAGTAAAATGCTTTAACTCAGCAGTTCAGACAAAAGAGGGTAAATCAGCTGTCATGGGATATTTTTGTGATTAGTTTAAGTAATTAATAACAAGCAAATCCACATTAAATCCATTAAATCCAGATTAAATCCAGGTCAGGTTGTCAGAGGAAGCAGAGCTGACTGTCTGCTGAAGCTGAGGAAGAGGAGGAAGAGGAGCAGGAGGAGCAGGAGGAGAAAGAGGAGGAAGAGGAGGAAGAGGAGGAGCTGATCTGATCCTGATCTCTAAAGAGACTCAAACTTCCTCCTTCAGTTCAGTTCAACTCTCCAACATCAACTCTGCTCATCATGGACTATTATAGTCTGTCTCTGCTCATCGCCTCTCTGCTAACAGGTCAGATTCCGTCTAGACGCTCTGATCTACTGAAATGTTCATGAAAACTTTTGTAACTGAACAGATTTTTCTTCCTCCAGGTATCAGTTGCGATCAACCGACTCCCCGGCAAAATGAAGTGTTCGAAGTAGTCGGCAGCTTTGTCCCTCTGAGCTACGCTTTATCCAAACCAGCAGCAGTTAATGATTATTTCTTCTGGTACCGACAATATCCTGGAAAACCTCCAGAGTTTCCTGATCTCCCACACAGCAAAAGGAGGAGAATTATCTCAGCTGCCTCCTGGTTTCTCCATTGGAGTGAATGAAACTCAAACCCAGATGGATCTGCTGATCTCCTCTGCTGCAGTGACAGACTCTGCTGTGTACTACTGCGCTGTGAGGCCCACAGTGACAGGAAACACCAGAACCCTGAACAAAAACCTGCAGTACTGCACAGCAGCCACCAGAGGGCCTCACTCCCTGTTAACCCACTAAAACCTGCAGTACTGCACAGCAGCCACTAGAGGGCCTCACTCCCTGTTAATCCACTAAAACCTGCAGTACTGCACAGCAGCCACTAGAGGGCCTCACTCCCTGTTAATTTACTAAAACCTTCACAGGTCCGTAAGATGGGTTTGTGCTTGATAAAATGTTATTTTATTTATATTAGCCTTCCTGTAGGTGTTTTTAATTCCACATGTCACAGAGGGATGTTGCAGACAAATACATATACACTCTTTGTAAGAATCTAGTTTCCCTAAAATTGCAAAAATTCATATGACGTGTTGCCCTTAGACTTTAAACTCTTTTATTGTCCATTAAACTTACATAAAATGGAAATTTATCTTTGGCAATGGCACAAGAAAAACACAACACAACACACATCACAGTGGCCACAAAACTGCATGTACAATGAACAAACAAGATCTGTAAAATGAAATCAAGTCATACTACTCTACTCATGTCATTCAGTTAAATATTAAAACCCATTTAAAATTTACTATTCTACTGCTAAGAGAGCACACAGAACTTCTACACTGAGTCACAATGCACTGTGTTACTGTGTGAAATTTAAATTCAGTGGAATACAACTAGCAGACTTAGAGAACACATAAACTTATCTATTCTCAATTAATATAGTCAGATTTTTATTTAGAATATCCACAGCTGATGGAACAAATGATCGCTTGTAGCCATTCCTCCTTGCCATTGGGACTTTAAATCTATGTCCACATGGCAGCAACTGGAGAGCACAATGAAGAGGATGAGTCGGGTCCAGATAGGATGAGTCGGGTCCAGATAGGATGAGTCCGGTCCAGATAGGATGAGTCGGGTCCAGATAGGATGAGTCGGGTCCAGATAGGATGAGTCCGGTCCAGATAGGATGAGTCGGGTCCAGATAGGATGAGTCCGGTCCAGATAGGATGAGTCGGGTCCAGATAGGATGAGTCGGGTCCAGATAGGATGAGTCGGGTCCAGATAGGATGAGTCGGGTCCAGATAGACTTGATGTGCCTTCTTTGTTAAGGCCCGCATGTACAAATGTGAAAGTTGTTTAAGTCCAATAATCTTTCCAGCCTGGTTGACGATCTGTCCCAGTTTGTTCTTTTGTTTGACGGAGAGGTACCCATACCATGACACCATGTTGAATGTCAGCACACTCTCGGTCAAGGACTTGTAGACCATGGACATGGTGCGCTTACTGGTTAAGGCCCCTGAGTCTTCTCAGGAGAGCCAGGCACTGTCTACCTTTTTTAAATGTGTCGTGCACATGGTCTTGAACTGTCTATGACTGTCCCAAGGTATTTAAACCAAGGTATCCACCTCCTGACCCTTCATGCTGATTGGCCTGAAGGTGTGCCCCTGGTCTTTATTGCCTCCCTTCTTGTTGCTTCCTAGCCACATCTCCTTGGTTTTGGAGACATTAAGGTCCAGGAAGCTGCTGTCAAACCATGCAGATAAGGTGTTAATATACTGCAGATAGGGGGAGGTATCTGCTTCCCCCATAGGCAGGCAATTAGAGCCACATCATCTGCGTACTTAATGAGGGAGAGGTCATCAGTTTGACACTGTAGCTCATTGGTGTACATGGAGAAGAGCAAAGGTGAGAACACACATCCTTGGGGAACTCCTGTGTTGAGGACCAGAGAGTCAGAGAGGAATTTCTTAATGCACACACGCTGGGGTCGATCGCTCAAAAAATCCCTGATGAGGAGAACCAGACCAGCAGACCTTAATGGTTCTGATGAGTTAGAAAATGGGATCAGGTTCAGCCGCAATAATTTAGAAAATGTAAAGGACTGGATAATCTGCTGTTTTAGCACATGTAGGTGTGTTCAAGTGTGTGTGTGTGTGTGTGTGTGTGTGTGTGCGTGTGTATGTGTATGTGCTGGTTTAGCTATCATTATATGAACTTAATCTTGTCAAACAACTAACATTGTGTGGACATTTATTTATTTTGCCATGTCCACACAATAAAAACATAATTTTTGAGTTAGGTGTTGGTATTAAAGTGGGAATTAAATGAAGCTGAGAGGAGGAGGAGGAGGAGGAGGAGGAGGAGGAGGAGGAGGAGGAGGAGGAGGAGGAGGAGGAGGAGGAGGAGGAAGAGGATGAAGAGGAGGAGGAGGAAGATGAGGAGGAGGATGAAGAGGAGGAGGAGGAAGATGAGGAGGAGGACAAAGAGGAGGAGCTGGTCTGTTCCTGAACTCTAAAGAGACTCAAACTTCCTCCTTCAGCTCAACTCTCCAACATTAACTCTGCTCAACATGCTGTCTCTGCTCACATCTGGATTCACTCTGCTGTTCTGATCACTGGATCAGGTTGGTTGGAGTCTTTCAGAGAATAATCTCATCCTTGTTGTTCTTCACTTACATCAGTTCTTTCTTCCTTCAGGTGTAAACTGCCAACAACTCACTGCAGCAAAGACTGAGGAGTTCAGTTCAGAGGGCAGCTCTGTTACTCTGACCTGCAGTTACTCCAAAGGTTCAGCTACTTATTTATTCTGGTATCGACAAAATCCAGGAAAACATCCAGAGTTCCTGAAGTCTCACTCACCTTCAGGTGAAGCAGAACATCTGGACAGGATGACATTTATAGGAAGCAAAGAAGAAATGTCCATGACGATCTCCTCTGCTGCAGTGACAGACTCTGCTGTGTACTACTGCGCTCTGAGGCCCACAGTGACAGGAAACACCAGAACCCTGTACAAAAACCTGCAGTACTGCACAGCAGCCACCAGAGGGCCTCACATCGTTCTCTAGTTCTTTAACTTCCAAGGAATGAGTCTGGTTCTGGTTCTGGGTCAGTCTCTGGCTGGTTTCCTTCAGCAGCGTTTCCTTTGTGCTGATTGGTCCGTCTATTTCAGATCTGAGCCTGGTGGTGGTGGCAGCATGATGTGGGACTGTTGTCACCATTTCACCCCTACAGTCACCTGAGCATTTCTGACCATCTTCCTCCCAGTATGACCATAGTGGGCTCATCTGGTGGATGTTTCAGGCATCGGATCTCAAACTGGTTCCTAAACTGGAAGGATCACCAAAAAGCTGGATCTTAAACAATCAGAGTCGCTGAAACCTGATCACCAGAACCAGTCTCAGATGTTTCTGGTTCGCTGCAGCACCGACTCACTAACTTCAGCTGGTTTCTCAGTCAGAAATCTCCTCACTGGCTGAACCTTCAGCAACAACCAGTTTCTCTGGCTCCTCCCACCACTGCTGAGCTCAGCCAATGAGAAGGCTCGTCTCTGCAGAGCTAAAAGCAGCTTGATGATGACGATGAAGGTCTGTTAGTCTTCCTTCTGCTGCAGTGGATCATCTCTGTTGATCTCGTGTCTGACCTGAACTCCTGGAACATGTTGCTTCACCTCCTGCTCTTCTCTCTCTGCATCGGTGAGTATCAGAACCGAGAGAAGCTCTGATCTTCTCTCTGGATCTCACTGCGACCACATGTGGATGGAAGAGCCTCTGAGTCTCCTGACGCCTGAATCTGCTGCAGACTGACTGACATGAACCATCATTTTACAGCCATGGGCTCCATGAACACCGTCACACAGGAGCAGAGGGAACACGCCGCTTCAGAGGGAACACCCACCAGTTTGAGCTGCGACTATACTGGTTCCATCTATAATGTCCAGTGGTATCGACAGCGGCAGAGATCCAGACCAGAGTTCCTGCTCTCCATCACAGAGTCGGGATCGATCCATCCAACTCGCTCCGATTTCTCCGCTCACATCGATAAAACTCAGAAACAAGCAAATCTGCTGATCTCCTCTGCTGCAGTGACAGACTCTGCTGTGTACTACTGCGCCGTGTCGCCCACAGTGACAGGAAACACCAGAACCCTGTACAAAAACCTGCAGTACTGCACAGCAGCCACTAGAGGGCCTCACTCCCTGTTAATCCACAAAAACCTGCAGTACTGCACAGCAGCCACTAGAGGGCCTCACTCCCTGTTAATCCACAAAAACCTGCAGTACTGCACAGCAGCCGCTAGAGGGCCTTACTCCCTGTTAAACTACAAAATTAAGGACTTTTTAAAAAGTCCTGTTTGTCATCTGATGGACAAATAGAATAAAATAGGAACATGTTTATTATCCCAGGTGTTTATTACACCTGACTGCAGCTTACCAACATGCTGACAATATTTCAGTCGTTCATCATGAGTTAATTCCTGGGAGAACTCAGAGTCTCTCTCTGGACAAATGTCGGACAGCCAATAGATAAACCATGAGGCTGTTTGTGAACAAGCAGCTGATCACTTTTTAAATGATAACGAAGCTCAGCCATATGCTGAGCTGAGGATGCTGCCTGGACCCAATGAAGAGATGCAGAGACTGTAGCTCTTTGGGAAACTCTCCATTAGCTTTGTTTCCGTAAAATCTGTTTGTGTTTGATAAAAATTTTCTTTTATTTATATTAGCCTTCCTGTAGGTGTTTTCAGTTCCACATGTCACAGAGGGACATTGCAGACAAATACATATACATTCTTTATAAGAAACTAGTTCACCTAAAATTACAGAACTTTGTATGATGTTTTGCCCTTAATGATTCTGAGGAGTTAGAAAATGGGAAAAAATTATGTTCAGTCACAATAATTTAGAAATGTAAAGGACTGGATAATCTGCTGTTTTAGCACATGTGGGGGTGTTCAAGGGTGTGTGTGTGTGCGTGTATGTGTGTGTGTGTGTGTTTTGTGTGTATGTGTGTGTGTGTGTGTGTGTGTATGTGTGTGTGTGTGTGTTTTGTGTGTGTGTATGTGTGTGTGTGTGTGTTTTGTGTGTGTGTGTGCGTGTGTGTGTGTTGTGTTTATGTGTGTGTGTGTGTGTGTGCTGGTTTATCTATCATTATGAGGACTTAATCTTGTCAAACAACTGACATTGTTGGACATTTATAGCTGTGAGGACATTTTGCCATGTCCAGACAATAAAAACATAATTTTTGAGTTAGGTGTTGGGATTAAGGTGGGAATTAAATGAAGAAGAGGAGGAAGAGGAGGAGCTGATCTGATCCTGATCTCTAAAGAGACTCAAACTTCCTCCTTCAGTTCAGTTCAACTCTCCAACATCAACTCTGCTCATCATGGACTATTATGGTCTGTCTCTGCTCATCGCCTCTCTGCTAACAGGTCACAATGTCTCTGTTTTTCAAAAACACGTTTTCAAAGTTTAATAAATGTGAATTTATTTACAGAAACTGAAACTAACAAGTTTCTCTTCATCTAGGAGTCAGATGCCAACAACTCACCGCGCTTCATAATGAAGAGTTCGCTGTAGAAAAAAGCAAAGCTACTCTGTCCTACACTTACTCCAGCAAAGCTACTGGAAGTGATTATTTCTTCTGGTATCGACAATATCCTGGAAAACCTCCAGAGTTCCTGATTTCTCATTTAGGATCTGGAGCTAAACTCCAGGATCTGGTTCCTGGTTTCTACTTCAACATGAATGATGATAAAACCCAGATGGATCTGCTGATCTCCTCTGCTGCAGTGACAGACTCTGCTGTGTACTACTGCGCTGTGAGGCCCACAGTGACAGGAAACACCAGAACCCTGAACAAAAACCTGCAGTACTGCACAGCAGCCACCAGAGGGCGCCATGCTCCAGTAGGCGGCGCTCTCCTTGTGCTCTGTGCTCCAGCATTGTGTCAATAAGAAGTGGTGCTGTGAAGAGAACAATAGTCAGACTGAATGTTGAACATCAGCTGCTTTCTCCTGCTGATTTAAACCTTGTTGGACAGATGGAACATTGGCTGTGGATTATTCTGGCTGCTCTTTTCTCTGGTAAGATACAAAGATGTTTCCTCTACATGGAGTCTTTAAAGCTGCTGATTGTTCTCCTTTAATCAATCATCTTTATTGATCCGTCTCTTCCTCTGCATGTTCTGTTCTTCCCAGAGTGTAAAGGAGACTCAGTGAAGCAGACAGGAGGAGAAGTTGCTGCTGCAGCAGGAGAATCACTGACTCTGGGATGTACCTTTGAAGCAAATTCCTTTGCGAATCCATATCTGTTCTGGTATAAACAAGAAGAAAATAAACTCCCAGTCCATATACTGACGCGTGTTAAAGGAACAGGCGTGAACTCTAAGCTGTTCAACAAGGACAAATTTGATGCCAATCTTGAAGATGCGTCCATCCCTCTGAGGATCAACAAACTTAATCTGTCAGACTCTGCTGTGTACTACTGCGCTCTGCAGCCCACAGTGACAGGAAACACCAGAACCCTGAACAAAAACCTGCAGAGCAACAAAAATACAATATTCCACAATATCCACCAGAGGGCCTCAAATCAGGCAACATTAACATGACAAAATAATGTAAAGCAGGAGTGTCGACATCCAGTCCTGGAGGGCCGCTGTCCTGCAACTTTTAGATGTGCCTCTGCTGCACCACACCTGAATAGAATAATAGGTCATTAAGGCTCTGGAGAACAAGGAGGAGGTAATTAAGCCATTTCATTCCTGTGTTTTATACCTTTGGCACATCGAAAAGCTGCAGGACAGTGGTCCTTGAGGACTGGAGTTTGACAACCCTGATGTAAAGGGTTGAATGTACTGTGCTTCAGAAATGTTGAGACAGCATCTAATCAGCTCAGGCCTTATAGCGTGTTTTACTAGACAAGCACTGTAGAATCCTCTTCAACAGTGTAACAGTTTTTACTGTCCTGCTGAATGTTTCTCCTGCTTTCTCTGAACCACTGAACACAACCCGTATTACAGTCTGAAAGACTTTGTTTTCTACCAGGAGGAAGAGGAGGAAGAGGAGGAGCTGATCTGATCCTGATCTCTAAAGAGACTCAAACTTCCTCCTTCAGTTCAGTTCAATTCTCCAACATCAACTCTGCTCATCATGGACTATTATGGTCTGTCTCTGCTCATCGCCTCTCTGCTAACAGGTCAGATTGGATCTTAATGCCTTAATGTGGGAAAATGTGTCAATGACTCACAATGGAAACTTTTATAACTAAACACATATTTCTTCATTTAGGTGTCAGCTGTGATCAACTTACACCTCATGAGGAAGAACTCTCTAGTTTAGAAAGCAGCTTTGTTAATTTGTCCTATACATTTTCAAGACAAGCTGCAAATGATTATTTCTTCTGGTATCGACAATACCCTGGAAAATCTCCACAGTTCCTGATCTCCCACTCAGGAACAGGAGCTCTAATGTCAACTCCACTTCCTGGTTTCTACTTCAACATGAATGATGATAAAATCCAGATGGATCTGCTGATCTCCTCTGCTGCAGTGACAGACTCTGCTGTGTACTACTGCGCTGTGAGGCCCACAGTGACAGGAAACACCAGAACCCTGAACAAAAACCTGCAGTGCTGCACAGCAGCCACTAGAGGGCCTCACTCCCTGTTAATCCACTAAAACCTGCAGTACTGCACAGCAGCCACTAGAGGGCCTCACTCCCTGTTAAACCACTAAAACCTGCAGTACTGCACAGCAGCCACTAGAGGGCCTCACTCCCACTGGTTGTTGAGTCGTTGGACTGAAGACAAAGACAACAGAGACATGAAGCAGCAAAGATCAGAGACGGAGCTGCTGAGGAAGCAGAAAACTCTCTGATTGGTTGAGTTGTAGTGGCCCCGCCCACTGACCTTCAGCTCCTCCATCATTTGTTCTTCCTTCATTGTTGATCTGCTGTGTGGCTCTCAGGACTCCAGACATGTTGCTCTCCCTCCTGTTGCTTCTGTCTCTCAGTAGAGGTCAGTTTAGGTTTATTTTCATCTGTTTATTAATTAAAATTTTTTAATTAAAAATCTTTTCACCAGTTAATTTACTTGAGCAGATTGATAGAGTAATACTGTTCAGGGGACATTTTTCCACTTTTTCTTTTTCTCTCTCCCTTGTGGACGATGTTCATCTTATGGCTTGATTTTTTCCAGGTCTAACAGTTCAGGCTCAAGACTTCATCTCTGCTGTTGGTTATGAAGTGAACAGGATAGAAGGACAACCTGTCTCATTCAATTGTAGCTATAAGACAGGTTCAACGGATCCCATCCTTCACTGGTACAAACAAGTTTCTGATGTTGAGGCTCCTCAGTTCCTGCTGTGGAAAGGAGCAAGACAAAGCAGTGGAGATGAGCACAACCCAAACGATCGTTACAGATCAGTAACAACAGAAACATCGACTGAACTGCAGATAGAAACAGCGACCCTGGCAGACTCCGGTCTCTACTACTGCGCTCTGGAAACACAGTGGTGCAACATGTGGAGGAGGCTGTACAAAAACCTGACCGCAGACACCAGACTCAGGTTCAAAGATAAGAGAAACCACAAACCACCTCATCCAAGGTTTCTGCTTCTTAAAGAATGTTTGTTGTCGTAGTTTCCAACAAAACCCTAGCAAAAGTTCCAAGCTCCACCAGTAGGTCCTGGTTGTCTGGACCAGGACTTACTGGTCCTGACCAGTAAATCTGGACTGGACGCAGTATGAACTGAGACGCATTGGGTTTTAGGATTTAGGGGAGAAGACTCTACAATCGGCAGTCCGTGGTCTACTTAATGTAACTTCCAGCCCAATTTTGATGCGTTGACATAAAAATTACCAACCCCCATATTGCTCTTTACATTCACTCAGTGGTAAGTGATTACACCTGGGGAAAGGACAGGGACGCCTGTTGGGTGTTTATAGGATTCATGAATACATGAACGGAAGAAATAACTTGCACAGGACTTGGTTCTTACTGCTTAAAGCCAGCGGGTTGAGAGCTTTATTACCACACATCTATCAAAATTACATCGTCAAACACATTGTTACAAAAATCTGAAATATCTCAACTTGTGCTTCTGACATCACTTTCTACTGTCACAGTCTCATTTGTACTAGTGTGTATTAGAAAGCTTCGACCAACTGCATCACTGCCCTTGAGTTACGTAGGACTTCTGGTCCCGTTTGACATTAGATGTGAATATGTATTTAGGATCTCTAAGAAATCGACATCTGCTCCGTTTCAGATGTGCCAAATAACAATTAAGGGTTGTTGTTATCTGCCCAAACAGCAGATAATAACAACGGGCTCCTGTCCAGTCCTTGCTTGCACATCAGGAGGGGACGAGAGTCAGAAAAACCCAGACAGATGCCAAAACCTTTTCCTCGCAAAACAATTCCATAAATATAATTCCTCTCTGACAGTGAGACCTGACAAAGACCTGAATAATAAATACCAGAAACCTCAAATCAGTGTGTCCCATCTCTGGAAAACCCAAATCCCTGTTACCTTGTAGCAAATGAGGTACCGGATGGAAAATGAGTGATGGAGCGAGACGTTCAAATGTAGCAGTTTCTAAAACTCTCCACAAGGAACACTGATCTGTGTCTGATCAAACTATGCACAAAAACCTGCAGTACTGCACAGCAGCCACTAGAGGGCCTCACTCCCACTGGTTGTTGAGTCGTTGGACTGAAGACAAAGACAACAGAGACATGAAGCAGCAAAGATCAGAGACGGAGCTGCTGAGGAAGCAGAAACTCTCTGATTGGTTGAGTTGAAGTGGCCCCGCCCACTGACCTTCAGCTCCTCCATCATTTGTTCTTCCTTCATTGTTGATCTGCTGTGTAGCTCTCAGGACTCCAGACATGTTGCTCTCCCTCCTGTTGCTTCTGTCTCTCAGTAGAGGTCAGTATTATTATGAAGTAATTGATATTATTTCACTAGTTGACATAGTTGCGCAGGTAGAGAGTAAATCTGATCAGGTTGTTCATTTTCTCCACTTTAACAGGACTAACAGCTCAGGACTCAATCTCTGCTGTTAGAGGTGAAGACAGAGGGACAGAAGGACAGCGTGTCTCGCTCCACTGTAACTATGAGACAAAATCAAACCTTCTTCACCTTCACTGGTACAAACAAGTTTCTGATGTTGAGGCTCCTCAGTTCCTGCTGTGGAAAGGAGCAAGAAACCAAAGTGAGGAGCGTACGTTCCCTATCGTTACAGATCAGTAACAACAGAAACATCGACTGAACTGCAGATAGAAACAGCGACCCTGGCAGACTCCGGTCTCTACTACTGCGCTCTGGAAACACAGTGGTGCAACATGTGGAGGAGGCTGTACAAAAACCTGACCGCAGACACCAGACTCAGGTTCAAAGATAAGAGAAACCACAAACCACCTCATCCAAGGTTTCTGCTTCTTACTTGTTATGGGAAGAAATGGAAGTTTATCATCTGATTGTCAAGGAAAAATTCACAATTTTCACTTCTGACAATTTTCAGAGTTAAAAATAAAAGTAAAAATTAGGAAAATTGTCAGGAGTTACAATAAGAAAAATAAAAGTTTAGTATGAGCAAGAGAACATTTTCAGAAAAGTCAGCCATTTTCTAGTGAAGCTTAAAAGTTTTGTGCAAAGTTTTTTAGATTTAAGGAATTCTGCAAATAATTTATCACATTATTTTTGAGATTCTGATTTCAAAGCTTAGAAAAATCAACATCCGATCCAAAACTCAGACTCAGCCTCCCGAAACTTGCAGGAGCAAAGGTCAATATAAAATGACCAAGAGCCACTAACGGGAAACAGAAACAACAGGATAAATTTATTCTGAATGAAAGTTTCAGTTTTTTCTCCTTTAGTTTCATCAGGAGAAAAGCTGCAGTTTCAGACTGAAATGTTTGATTCTGATGCTACAGAAAACCTACTGAGCCCAACCTGAGAGCTTCAGCAAAGGGTTTCATGAAACTGGAACTGAAAATAATCTAAAATTAGATGAAAACCAATGACTGGGTTTCAGTAAAACCAAAAATAAGTTTCCTGCTCGTTCCCGGTGAGGTTGGACTCCATCAGGGCTTTTGTCACAGATTCTGTTCATCACTTCATGGACAGAATCTGCAGAGCAGCCGAGGCGTTGAGGGGATCCGTTTTGGTGGCCTCAGGATCCATCTCTGCTTCTTGCGGACGATGTGGTTCTGTTGGCTCCATCGGGTCGTGACCCGCAGCTCTCGCCGGAGCGGTTCGCCGCCGAGTGCGAAGCGGCCGGGATGAGGATCGGTGGCTCCGACGCCGCGGTCTGGAGCCGGAAAAGGGTGGAGAGCTTCTCTACCCGGGGGGGATGTCCTGCCCCAAGTGGAGCAGTTCAAGTATCTCTGGGTTCACTAATGGGGGAAGAAGGGAACGGGAGATCGACAGGCGGATTGGAGCAGCGTCTGCAGGGAACTGGACCGGCCCGTCATGGTGGAGAGAAATAAGGTTCTGGTGGAGCAGAGCCGAGTCCAGACAGAGACCAGGCGTCGATTCATACCAATTCTCTAAACTCTCAAACTTTTCCTTCTTCTGGATCCGACAACATGCAGGAGGGCAGCTGCACCACCGACCCGGATTCCTGGTCCGGGTCGGTGCTGAGCTTCAGAGTCCTGGATCTGGGCTCTATTCTCTGAACCCGTCTCGGATCAGAACCTCACTGCTGGGATCGGCTCAGCCATTCATGGATCAGCAGCGCCATCATGTGGTTGATCCTGCAGGTGAAAACTCTTCCAGTCAGATTTTTTAATGAACTTTTCTTTTCATTCTTGTTTCCAGGATAAATGGTGTTTGTGTTTCAGGCGTTTTCAGAGCTGAATTTCTGCTGCAGCATTTTAATATTTATTTCATCACTGGACCAGTTTCAGATCATTTCTCCTTTAAAAGGCTCTCAGTCCTGACATCTCTAATGTTTCAGCAGGAGAAGCTTTAAAACCACATTTCTCAGAGGAAAACACACATAACCTCTTTACTTTTACATTCATTAGTTTTTGGTTTATTCAGTGTATTTTATGTTATTGATATTTTTTCCTGTTAATTTATGGATTATTTCAGATTTCTTCTGTTTGGCCTCCTGTTGACTCACCTGGTTTCCATCCCACAACCATGAAAAAACAGAAATATTGTTTTTGTATTTCTTTCAAAGCTTGCTCTTTATTTTGAGCTGGTTTTTTATCCCTGCTTCCTGTTTTAAATGTTTCCATCCATGGATCCTCTGATTTCATCTCAGTTTTTGTTTTTATATTTGGACTGTATTTATTTTACATATTTGATGCCTTCAGATTTAATCGATCTGCCCTGTAGAGCAGATGCTTCAGTACCCAAAAACAGCCTGTAGGTGGCGGTGGCACTCCATCAGAAAACAACATTATCAGAGAAAAAGACTGATTTCATTGGAAAACTGCTAAACAACATGAAAAACGTATTCATGTATTATTGGACATTTTGGTATTTCATGATGTGAAGACTTTGGACTGCCTGGCTGCTGAAATGTGTTCTGCAAATAAGTTTGATTTGAATTGATTCTAATCAGCTGCTCATGTCTCCTGGTCGGCCTTTACTTAGGCAGCATCACAAGAGACAGAAACACTTCAAACAGAAACTGGATAAATGCTGCATTGAAAGGAAATGATCAAATGTTTCAACTGATCATAAACTCATGATTCAGTCCAGATTCAAAGGATCCGGCAGGTTCTGAACATCTCAGGCGGTTTGATCCAGATCTGATTCTGATTCTGGACCTAAACTGGAAGAGAAACCAGGAGGAAATGAGGCGCCTGCTGCTGCTTTGTTGAACAAGAGTTTGAAAAAAATTATGATTTATAACTAAAACAAATGATATTAAAATCTAAGCAACACTGAAAAGCTGATGGACGAATACAGCAAAGACATAGAGACGTAGTTAAATTTCTTAATGACTCTATGTCTTTGTTACATAGAGACATGCTGCATAGACCTACTTTATTGTGTCACTTGATTTGAATTCCACACAGTTCTCATTATATATAAAAATGTAAAAGATAGTTTATCTTAGGCAGAGCTGTAAAACATTTGGGTGCTCTGTTAGCTTATCAAGTTAAGGCCAGCAGGTGAAGGTCTGTTCACTCATAAAACAACAACCCTGTATTTGGTTACATTTGCATTCAGACTAACTGCAGACATGTTGTGGCCTCCTATAATGAAGTTTAATATTCTGCAAAAGAACTAACTTTATCTGATTAGCCCATTACATGGATTGTACCAATCTGTTAAGCTACTGTTCCTAACAGAAAGGATCCTAAATGGGATATGCACAAGGCATCCCACACCATCCCAGTCCTGTAACTCACACCACAAACCTTTAACAAAACAAGATACCCCATAGCAGTGACACAGTTATGCCAAAAAAGAAAGTCTTTGTGGGATGATGCTGGTGGGAGTTTGCACTGCAATCAGTGGGTTGCTATTTTGAGACCCGGCTCCACCCGCCTCTTTCATTGTGTCCTTGGGCAAGGCACTTCACCCGCCTTGCCTGCTGGTGGGGTTCAGAGGGCCCAGTAAGCGAGTGTGATTGTGAATGGGTGAATGCTTAGTGGAAAGCACTTTGGATTACTCTGGACTTGATAAGGTACGATATAGGTACAAGACCTTTACCATTCATTGTCCTGTAGAAGTGATCTTTTTCACATTCATTAAATATTTCAAGCTGCAGACATACATAACGCATTTCCCCGATATTTCCCAGATAACATCACAGACGTCCCTGTTTTTCTAAACAATAATGATTTCACAAGGAAATGAATGATTGTCATAAGGGTTTGTTCAATGTGATGACATCTGAAAGGACAAAACATTTGAGCCTTTTCCAGACTACAGTTCTGTATCTGCGGTCTGATAGGAGTAGAGTGAAGAACCAGTTCAGAGGATGGTCAGGACTGTATGTGTGTGATTTGCGTCTGTGTGATGGTTTTTGATCTACTGAAGTTCAGGTTAGTATCTATAGTAGGGATGGGAAACTCCAGGCCTCGAAGGCCGGTCTCCTGCAACTTTTAGATGTGTCTCTACTTCAACACACCTGAGTCAAATAATGAGGTCATGAGCAGGACTCTGGGGAACCTGACTGCACTTAGGGCGCGATTCCGCTGTTGGATTCAAGTGTGTTGGACCAGGGAGACGTCTCAGAGTGGCAGGACACCAGCCCTCGAGGGCCGGGATTGTCAGTAGACAGTGTGACAGAGTCCTATAGTAAATAGTTTAATGTAACATGTTTGTTTAAGAGTTTTTATTTCTACAGCCCCTGGATGTAAAGAGAGACAGAGACCATAACAAGTTGACAATGTCCTTACAAAATTGAAAAAATTTTGTTTTCTCTATTTCCAAAAAATTCTCAAAAACGCTGAAAAGATGTCAGAAAGGAGGGAACTGTTACTCCCTGTTTTGCTGGATTTGACACAGCCTGTCACCTCTTGTAAATGCTTCACCTAAACATCACATGAGTGGCACCAACCTACTTACCAAGTGTGTCCTTCCTGTGAAAAATGCACAGCATTCCCCATCTAATCTAGTTCTCTAAATCCCACATTGAACATTTAGGCAAAACAATATCCCATCTTGGCAGCAGCCTCCATCCTGAACCTGTGGAGAAACAGAAAATATGGAAAAGGAAAACCCCAAGCATGTGCCAGACTTAACTTGTGTCTCCATGGAGTATGTTGTAAATTGATAAAGAAACTTAGTCAATAGATCTTTATGCTCACTTCACCTCCACTATCATTCTGGTTATTATAAAAGCGGATATTAATGTCTCTGTTCTGTTTTTTATGTGAAAACATCCTGAATGAAAGCAGAGAACAGAAACTGCAGTTCTTGAAACATCCACTTGATGGTGCTGTTGTCCAATAAAACAGAAGAACAGCCAGCATGAAGGACGCCACCTGCAGGATGCAAGAGTCCTTGCAGCCACTTTCAGATTTCACTGAAATGATTTGATTCAAATCATAAATAAAAACACAGAAGAAAGAAAACTGGAAAAATTCTGGGATGTTTTCATTTCTATAAGTTTCTTTCAGATCCAGATCATCAGATTAATCTCTGTTAGACACCAGCTGTTATGAAAGGATGATAGAAATTATGTTTTATTAGAGGAAATAAATACAAATGTTTATATTTAGAAACTTATAAATATCTTGACCTTCTGTATGATCAGTTTCATTTGTTCTGATGGATGTTAAAATGATTTTAATGTGAATATTTTGTATTTTATGATAGTTGAAGCTTATAGAGTCGACTCACCTGGTTATCCACTTTTGTGTTTTGTTGTTTCCAGTCTGAAGGAGACAGAAGTTTTTCTGTTGACCTTTACAGAAACCAGATCAGATCAAACTCAGATCAGTGAATCGTCTTCGTTTCAGTCACCGATTCGGTGAAACTCTGCTCCTCCTGATGTGACTCAGCTCTGAACCTTCTGCAAACAGAAACATGATTAAAATAATCTGATCCTTTCATGACTGACTGAAAACAATCGTCTTGTTTCTCTGAACAGGAAGTGACTTCACACTTCATTAGCAGGAAATCAATGATTCATCAGGTTGATGCTCAGAAATGTGTCATTAAAGCCGAGATTGTCGAGATTATAATCCAGAACAGAAATCAAAACAAACAATATGAGCCACAGGGTGAAACATTGACAGCATTAGCTAGCAGAGCTACAGTTACATCCAAATCTATTCAAATCCAGTCTTAGGCTCCATGTTTGATATTTTTCAGCTTCCAGTAAAAACTGTTAATTTTATTGATTACTTCCTGATCGGGTCATCAGGAAGTAATCAATGATTTCTGTCTGAACTTCTTGACCCAAATCAACCAGGAGAGTTTTACCTCTAAGAATCTGAACTTTCCTGAATTTTAATTCAATTCCTTCTTAAATTATTCAAAGTTTTTAAAAGTTTCGCTTTTACCATGAAGCAAAGTGAATTAAATCATTTCATGTGTTAAATAATTTAATGTGTTTATGAAATAATTTTAATGTGTTAATTAAATAATTTTAATGTGTTAATTAAATCATTTTAATGTGTTAATTAAATCAATTTAATGTGTTAATTAAATCATTTTAATGTGTTAATTAAATCAATTTAATGTGTTAATTAAATCATTTTAATGTGTTAATTAAATCAATTTAATGTGTTAATTAAATCAATTTAATGTGTTAATTAAATAATTTTAATGTGTTAATTAAACCAATTTAATGTGTTAATTAAATCATTTTAATGTGTTAATTAAATAATTTTAATGTGTTAATTAAATCAATTTAATGTGTTAATTAAATCATTTTAATGTGTTAATTAAATCAATTTAATGTGTTAATTAAATCAATTTAATGTGTTAATTAAATCATTTTAATGTGTTAATTAAACCAATTTAATGTGTTAATTAAATAATTTTAATGTGTTAATTAAATCAATTTAATGTGTTAATTAAATCATTTTAATGTGTTAATTAAATCAATTTAATGTGTTAAATCATTTTAATGTGTTAATTAAATCAATTTAATGTGTTAATTAAATCATTTTAATGTGTTAATTAAATAAATTTAATGTGTTAATTAAATCATTTTAATGTGTTAATTAAATCATTTTAATGTGTTAATTAAATCATTTTAATGTGTTTATAAAATCATTTTAATGTGTTTATAAAATCATATTTCATTTATCTGCTGGTTTCTCTGCAAGTTAATCTGATGAAGGTTGATTGATTGGATCTGATTAATCTCGTCATTATTGATCCTGTTCTATCATATTTTAGAAACATTTAATGGATATTTAGAGTAAAAGTTGCTTTGGTCTGATTTTGTTAACTCTGGCTCTGAGGTCAAATGTCATCCAGATGTTATTTAATCTAGATTTACTTCCTGGGTTAATAATTCTGGTTCCAAACTGACAATTTTAATCCAGATTATAGATCTGAATGTGTAACAATGACCAGCTGCTTCTGTGGTTCATGTTGTCATATTTATAACTGAATGAATGATTTTTGTTTCCTGGAAGTTGCAGCTGCAAGTTTTTTTTTCGGTTGGAAACTTTTTGTGGTCGAGTTTCAGCCGGATGTTTGTCAGATTCTGGGTCGACCACGAAGCTGCTGCTGCTGCTGCTGCTGCTGCTGCAGATGAAGAAGATGATGATGATGATGATGATGATGATGATGATGATGATGATGATGATGATGATGCCACCGACTCGTCTCTCAGCTGCTGCTTTCCGGTGTGGTTGGCCTAGTCAAAGCAACAAACAGCTTCTGCTAAACCTGACACAAAAACAATTAAAACTGATTTCTACAGTTTAATGGATGCTGCTGCTGCTCAACCTGGGGAGGGTCAAAGGTCATCTCCAAACCTTTGCAGCAGATTCAGGCTAAGGTCAGAGGTCAGAGTGTGAAGCAAGCCTCAATTAGCAGGTCAGAGGTTAAAGGCCATGGTACTGATGGTATCCAGAAACAAGACGGCAGCCGGATCTGAAGAACATCATCGGCTGGGCCAAAGCGTGACGTCATCAGGGTCAAAGTGACTTCGTCAGGCTCGGCGGTGGAGAAGTGATGCTGTGGGCCTGTTAGCTTCCTCTGTGTCCATCTGTTCTTCCTGACATGGAATCACGTTGAGCTTCGTGTTGCTCTAATTCTCCTGGTAAAATATTTAAACATGTTCATATTAAAGTCGCGTTTCCTGACGCCCAGAGGGCCGAGGAAAACGCTATGGCGGCCTGGTTTTGGCCCCTGCGCCTCATGTTTGACAGCTGTGCTCCAGATGAGGTTTTAGTGTTTATTGTAGCTGAAAAATAACATAAAATATGATAATAATAAGCAGCAAACCTGACTGAACGGACAGAATCCAGGTGCTGGGATGGCCTAGTCAAAGTCACAGACTGAGGCAGAGCAGAGTGGACCTGTTGGTTCTGACGGTTCTGATGGACTCTGAGCTGCTGAGAGACTTTATGATCATTTGGATCCAGAAGAAATGAAACGATTTTATTTATAAAATATTTTAACTTAATATTTAAATATTTTGACCTTAAAACCATAAAAGTATCAATAAGTTAGTTATCGATCAATAATCAATAAGTATCTGCTGGTTCTTCCAGTTATTTCTGCTGTTGGTAATAACTTCCTGTTTCTCTATTAATGCTCAAAATATACACAAACATTATTAACATTATAAATATCATAAATATCATAAATATTATAAACTTTATAAATATCATAAACTTTATAAACATTATAAATATTATAAATATAAATATTGTAACTATCATAAATATCATAAAGTTTATTTTATTAAACTCAGCTGCATCTTGAACCACAGAATTATTTCTAATAACTGCACAATATTTATGTTCAGTATTTTTATTTATTCTTTGTTGTTTTTATGTATTTTATTTTCTATTAGTTTTTGATTTAATTGTCACTGATTGATAATAAATTAAGTTCTAATTTATAAATAATGTAATAAAGGTTATTTAATAAAGGTTATGTAATGAAGTTATGTAAAGTATCTGTAGTATTTATTTTTTTCTTTTTTGCTTTAAATCACTAAATGATTTATTGATTTATATAAAACAGGAAATGACCTTAAAATGTTTTATTCTCGTTTATATGAAGATGAATGAATGAATTCATCTGCAAGCTGGTGTGACCTCTGACCTCTGCTGCTCCACTGTGGCTCTGGATGTTTTTCTGGATGTTTTCTGGATGTTTTCTGGATGTTTTCTGGATGTTTGTGCAGCTGCTGATCGTCCGCCCTGCTGCGCTCTCACCATGTCGGCGGCGGCAGGAAGCGTGTGACCCCTCCGGTTCTGATGGGGGCGCCTGGCCCGGTTTCCGGTCCCAGCAGGCTTCGAGGCGCCGGCCGCAGCCGCCCTCAGCCGCCCTCGCCTGTGACGCTCAGCGACCGCATCCTGTGGAAACAGAGAGCAGAAGATCGTCAGCAGCCAATGGGAAGGCAGAAGCCGGCGCCCACGCTGTGACATCACAGCCGCCACAGGAAGTCTGCAGCTTGAGCTCACAGTGACACGATTTTACTGAACTTCAACTAATTTAAATAGAATAAACTGGATTATTTAGACAGAAATTATGTTGTTTTCTCTGCTTATTGTTTTTATATTTTGTAAAAAATAAAATAAATTTTATGTTGATTCAGTGAAAAAGATTCAGGATTTAAACCTTTGAAAGTTTTTATTCCTCAGAATCTAAATAATTCATGAACCAAACAGGAATAATAAAAACGAAGCTTTATAAAATATTCTGTCTGTAATTTAGAACTGATTGTGTTATAGATCAGAGAATAATTAATAATCAATGCTCTGATTGATTCGTGACCTGCAGGGATGAAATTATTATACAGTAATTATTATTATACAAAAATTATTATTACAGAAACTATTATTATAGAATAATAATAATACACACACTTCTTATACAATAATAGTTTCTGTTTTCAGCGTCTTTAATGTTCAGGATTTAAGATAAAAATATAAATCGTTAATTTCACTCATCAGAAATTAAATTCAAAATTAAAACGTCGTATTTTAGTGAAAACAGACGAAACAGATCAGAACCTTCAGAACCGGTTCAGGAGCCGAATGTTCAACCCGGAACCTTTTGGACCCGGTTCAGTTTATTTTAGCTCCTGGAGGCTAAAACTGTATAAAATCTCTGGTCCTGGTCCTGGTTCTGGTCCTGGTTCTGGATGGATTCGGTTCTTCTATAAAAGCTTCGATCCAATGTCTGAATGATTGAACTTGGAGCAGAACCCATCAGAACCAACCGACCAGAACCAGGACCAGAGCCAGTGGAGGGACTTTAAAACTGCTGTTATGTCTCTAACTTCCTGGTTTTAGTGAGAACAGGAGCAGCAGCTTCTGGATCAGCAGCTTCTGGATCAGCAGCTTCTGGATCAGCTGGTTCTGGATCAGCAGCTTCTGGATCAGCAGCTTCTGGATCAGCTGGTTCTGGATCAGCTGCAGCTGGAGGATTGATTTGTTGGTCAGGCCTGAAGACGCTGTTACAATAATCAATGCGACTAAAGATAAATACATGAATGAGTTTCTCTAGATCTGGCTGAGACATTAGTCCTCTAATCCTGGAGATGTTCTTCAGGTGATAGAAGGCCGACTTTGTAACTGTCTTTATGTGGCTCGCAAGGTTCAGGTCAGAGGTCATCACTACTCCCAGGTTTCAGGCTGATCGCTAGTTTTTAGTTGTAATAACTGAAGCTGTGCATTGAATCTAGATCTATAAACCTAGATCTATAGCTCTAGATCTATAGCTCTAGATTGTTCCTTTAGATTTAGGGTTACAGCCAATCAAAGTTATAGATCAGATATTATGAAACATCAAATAAAAATGTAAAATATATTCATACGGTTTAAATAAAACTGTAATAAATTAGATTAAAATAATGAGGCCATGAATGATAAACAGATCTGAGTGGAAAACAGGTGGATCTCTCTCTCACACACACACACACACACACACACACACACACACACACACACACACACACACACACACACACACACACACACACACACACCTCCAGCTGCTCTGCGGGTTGCCATAGTTTCCATTCGGTCTCTGAACAGGAAGTGATGAAACTCGTTCATCAGATTCATCGCCTCGGGATCTGGATTCTGCCAGGAAACCACAGAGGAAGAGCGCGGCTCCTTCATCACCTCCTCCTCTTCCTCCACCTGCTCGGAACTGCCTTCAGGACATCCTGCCGTTTTTGGGTCAGAACTCTGAGCGGCTTCACATCCAGAACCGGGTCAAATTATTTCAACTAAACGCTGAATATAAAATAAAACCTGATAAAAACAAAATACTGAAACAGGCAGGGAGGGTTGCCCCCACCTGTTTTCTGAGTCCTGATCAGACAATATTCTCATGATATTCTGGTTGTTGCTGTGTGAAAATGACGGAACGTTTTGGTTTGGTCCAAACTTCTCCATCTGAACCTCGAGACTCCGGTCCGTTTAGATAAACGACGTTTAACCAGGAAGAACGAACCGTTTCCATCTGATGGAAGATTATAACAGACACAACGAGTCATTATTGGATTTTGAAAGACCACAAGACATCAGAACCAGAACAGAACCAGAACCAGAACCAGTTGCACATTTACCATGTTTTTTCTCCTGAATCCAGATTCAGTCGTCTGGAGGAGAAACGGAATGAAAACTTTGTATTTTTAGGCTCTGGAAGTTTAATTATTAAAATCATTTCTAATATGTTGTGGCGTTTGTGACAATTAGAATAAAGATTATAAAAAGATAAGGAGTGAACGTGTGGAAGATCATCATGAAGAGCAACGTTACACCAGGAGGAAACTAAACCAACGTCATCTGCATAAAGTCGGATATTCTTCTGATTTCAAAGAATAAAATCAGAGATTCACAACAGAACTGCTTCTCATTTTATGAGATTAAAACTAAAATATCAAATATTAATGAGATTTTCTGTGGCAGATAAATGTAGCATCAGTTTTTCTGTAGGATTTTATTTGTCAGACAGGAGACCAGAGCGGGTCGAGCGATCAGCGGAAATTATGAAAATAATATATTGTGATAAAATAATTATATGGCTATTCTCATCTTGTGGTTTGTAATATAAAGTATATTTTGTATTTAGTTTAACCAATTTTGATTATTTTTTCTTCAGAAAAGCTGAATTTTGGCATTTTCCATTCAAAAGCAGCAGTGAGTTGAGCCTCACCTGGACTGATCAGCCTCTGGCTAACAGCATAGAACATGATTCTACGGCTCCTCCTGTCTGAACGGCGCCAATAAATGGATAAAGCTCTGAGCTAGCCATGGAGCTAGCCATGGAGCTAGCCATGGAGCTAGCCACAGAGCTAGCCATGGAGCTAGCCATGGAGCTAGCCACGGAGCTAGCCATGGAGCTAGCCATGGAGCTAGCCACGGAGCTAGCCATGGAGCTAGCCACAGAGCTAGCCATGGAGCTAGCCATGGAGCTAGCCATGGAGCTAGCCACAGAGCTAGCCATGGAGCTAGCCCTGAAGCTAGCCACAGAGCTAGCCATGGAGCTAGCCACAGAGCTAGCCATGGAGCTAGCCACGGAGCTAGCCATGGAGCTAGCCACAGAGCTAGCCACGGAGCTAGCCACAGAGCTAGCCACAGAGCTAGCCATGGAGCTAGCCCTGAAGCTAGCCACAGAGCTAGCCACGGAGCTAGCCACAGAGCTAGCCATGGAGCTGGCCACAGAGCTAGCCATGGAGCTAGCCACAGAGCTAGCCATGGAGCTAACCACAGAGCTAGCCATACAGTAAAGTGCAGCGATATTTCTCCTCTTTCCACATCAATCACCTTCTCTCTCAGGGAGGAAACCCGTTTCAGCCGATGTATCCCAGATCTCGTTCTTTCAGTCGTGACCCAAAGCTCCTGACCAGAGATGAGGGTGGGAACGTAGATCGACCGGTAAATTGAGAGCTTCGCTTTCTGGCTCAGCTCTCTCCACCATGACGGGCCGGTCCAGTTCCCTGCAGACGTTGCTCCAATCCGCCTTATTGCTGGCAAGTGGACCAGACTCTGACACGGTCATAACCGGTCAATGACATCTTTATGCATTTTCTCCCTTATTGTGTATTAAACTAATGTTTTAAGCTGGCTGTTCTCTGCAGCATCAGAAACCGTTTCACTGATTTCAACAGAAAACTTTTATTCTGTGGTTCTGGTTTATCTGACCCGTTTGGTGCTTGTTGCTCACCCAGCTGTCTGAACACTTTCATATCTCAACTCTGCAGGTTTTGCAGCAGAACAAACAGGAAACCACAGAAACAGCAGCAGCTTGTTGCAGTTTGAGCTGCTCTGCTGATCCGACAGATTACAGATTATCTCTCACGTCACTTTGATAATATGTGATAAAATGACTAGAAATCAATAAGTCCCGATGGATTCTGCAGCTGAAGGATGAAAAGTTTCCTCAAAAGTTTCACTAAAAACTGACCAGATCGTCAAAAGAAGAATTTATTGAGCAACAGGAGGAAGTTGAGATGTGTCATAGTAAAGATGGCTGCCGTTGCTCAGAGGTCGACCTTTGACCCGGTCTGCCATGTTCTCCTGTCCTGCTGAGGTTCCACAAGGCTCCGTTATGTTACTTCATTCTGGTTTCATCCAGTCCTGTTCAGAAATCTGTTTTTATGCTGATGACACTGAACTGTATTTTCAACACAATCTGTTGGAATCACATCAGATATAAATCAGACATTGATCTATGTGTCGGTGGTTCTGACCCATTCTGCCTGTAGAACCGGGCTTTTAGCAGAAAGAAGTTTCTCTGCAGCCGAAGCGTTTCTGTGTTTCGGGTCGAGGCGGGTTTTCTATTTATGAATAGAAGAAACGGTTTTTCTAACATCAACATCAGACCTATGTTTTTAATCACAAACCAGAGTATGAAACAATATTCTTGCCCATAATGTGACAGTAAGAGGCTCAGATGGAGTCTGAACAACATGGAGGCAGAAATATTAAATTATTATATTCAGATAAATGTTCCTGCTGAGGGGCAGAAGCAGGCCTTCTGACATACAGATAAAAAATGACAACAAAACCTCTGCCCCCCTCTGCCCCCTTCTACCCCCCTCTGCCCCCCTCTGCCCCCTCTGCCCCCCTCTGCCCCCTCTGTCCCCCTCTGCCCCCTTCTACCCCCCTCTGCCCCCCTCTGCCCCCCTCTGCCCCACTGAAGAGATGAAACCAAAACATCAATCAATAAATAAAACCCAACCAACAGCAGAACCTCTGCAGCCTCTGACCTTTGACCTTCATCTGACCTGAAGCCCAAAGTCCAGCTGGATGTGTCCGGTTGTTTTGTAAACATTTTCCTGGATGAACTTTAACCTCCAGCAGGAAAAACACCAAAGATCCAAACACACCAGAGCAACTAAACTATAGATGATCAATACTAGATGATCAATAATTGATGCTTCATGCCAGTAACTTTATTCTTTATGAAATTTTGAAATCTAAAATCATGATTTTATTTTGACAAGCTGACATATTTCCTGTGACCAGTTGAATTTTCTTTCCAGTTTGGTGATGAAAATATTTAAATTTAAATGAATTTATTGTCTTTAAAGATTTGATGCTGCATTATTGATTTATTGCATTTCATCTTTAAGACTTTTGTGTTTTTTCTGCTGCAGTTTAAAGCAGAACCAACTCTGGGTTTGAAATGATAAACGTCTGAAATGAATGAGTAATAAATCTGGTTCTGATCAGGTTCTGATCATAATGCCGCCGTCGCAGCTTTACTTTCCTAACAGGAAGTAATCCTGGATCCGTTTCATTTGGCCCAGTCGGTTCTGGTTCTGGTTAGCGGACAGTTTTTCTCTCCACAGTCGCCTCATGCACGTCTGTCAGGATTTAAACCACAAACTGAACAGAACCGAGTTGGAGATGATTTTAGTTTTGAATGTACAATAAATAAATAAACTGAATCAAATTTAATATCATATTTTAATCTCAACTGTTTTCTGAGGCTAAAAGCAGAAAATCATTATAATTAATTTAAATATAAGTTTTTAAACAATAAACTGTTTAAATAATTTAATCTGACATCAATAAATGTTCTCATTTACTGCATATTAATAAATGAGAATATCATTTTTATTAAATGTTCCCTTATTTGATGGGAATGTAAATAAAAGAGTCAGCTCTCGTTCATTTTGGGCTTTTATTTTGAAGTTCCACAGAGTCATAAATCTACATATTTTTGTCTTTGATGAAACTAATATTTACACAAACATCAAACAAAACACAAGACAATCATCTTTATAACTTTATATTCACTCCGTTTCGTTTTTTAACAGGAGGTTTATCTACAGATCCGGATCAGATCCGGATCGGGTCGGTCCGGATCGGGTCGGTCCGGTCCGGATCAGATCGGGTCGGTCCGAATCGGGTCGGTCCGGATCGGGTCGGTCCGGTCCGGATCAGATCGGGTCGGTCCGAATCGGGTCGGTCCGGATCGGGTCGGTCCGGATCGGATCAGATCGGGTCGGTCCGAATCGGGTCGGTCCGGATCGGGTCGGTCCGGTCCGGATCAGATCGGGTCGGTCCGAATCGGGTCGGTCCGGATCGGGTCGGTCCGGTCCGGATCAGATCGGGTCGGTCCGAATCGGGTCGGTCCAGGACTTTTCCTTTGACCTCAATAAATCCTGAAAAACAAAAAGAAAAAATATTTTAATTGATTTGATCAGAACCAGATTTATTAAAACCAGGTAAACATGAAATCTGGATCTCCGTGGCGACAGAGAGGAAAAACCCCTGTGACCTGTGACCTGAGCACAGGTCACAGGTCACAGGTCACAGGTCACGTCTCCCTCTGGTCCAGGTGACCAGGACAAAGTTCTGTTCGGTCCAAACAAGCAGCTTTAACTTTCCTCACGACGTTTCTGAGCAGAAGGAGGTTTATCACCGAGCGACCGGGAGGTTCTGGTGGACCCGACGGGTCTGAACGGGTCTGGTTCTGATGGGTTTAGACGGGTCTGAACGGGTCTGGTTCTGGTGGGTTTAGACGGGTCTGAACAGGTCTGGTTCTGGTGGGTTTAGACGGGTCTGGTTCTGATGGACCCGACGGGTCTGAACGGGTCTGGTTCTGGTGGGTTTAGACGGGTCTGAACGGGTCTGGTTCTGGTGGGTTTTGACGGGTCTGGTTCTGGTGGGTTTAGACGGGTCTGAACGGGTCTGGTTCTGGTGGGTTTTGACGGGTCTGAACAGGTCTGGTTCTGGTGGGTTTAGACGGGTCTGGTTCTGATGGGTTTTGACGGGTCTGGTTCTGGTGGGTTTTGACGGGTCTGGTTCTGAGTCCGACTCCTGGACTGAATTTTGTTTCCGCTGCTGTTTTGTTTTCCTCTGAATCAGAACCGGGTCAGAAAACCCAAACCCGGGTCAGTAGGTTATCATGTTTATAAAAATATTTACTATCATATTAACTGATATTCATTTTCATCTGCTGTTTCCTGTTATACTTTCAGAATAAAAGCACTCTGAGTTTTAAAGGTTTAAAACTTTTTTCCTCTGAAATGAAATACTGGAATCAAACCCAAGAGGTTCTGTTTGGTTCTGTTCGGTTCTGTTTGGTTCTGTTTTGTTCTCTGTGGTTCTGTTTGGATCTCTGTGGTTCTATGAGGTTCTGTGAGGTTCTCTGTGGTTCTGTTGGGTTCTGTTCAGTTCTGTGAGGTTCTGTGAGGTTCTGTGTGGATCTTTGTGGTTCTGATGGGTTCTGTTCAGTTCTGTTTGGATCTCTGTGGTTCTGTTTTGTTCTCTGTGGTTCTGTTTGGATCTCTGTGGTTCTATGAGGTTCTGTGAGGTTCTCTGTGGTTCTGTTGGGTTCTGTTCAGTTCTGTTCAGTTCTGTGAGGTTCTGTTTGGATCTCTGTGGTTCTGTTGGGTTCTGTTCAGTTCTGTTTGGATCTCTGTGGTTCTGTTTTGTTCTCTGTAGTTCTGTTGGGTTCTGTTCAGTTCTGTGAGGTTCTCTGTGGTTCTGTTGGGTTCTGTGTGGTTCTGTTGGGTTCTGTGTGGTTCTGTTGGGTTCTGTTCAGTTCTGTGAGGTTCTGTGAGGTTCTGTGTGGATCTTTGTGGTTCTGATGGGTTCTGTTCAGTTCTGTTTGGATCTCTGTGGTTCTGTTTGGATCTCTGTGGTTCTATGAGGTTCTGTGAGGTTCTCTGTGGTTCTGTTGGGTTCTGTTCAGTTCTGTTCAGTTCTGTGAGGTTCTGTGTGGATCTCTGTGGTTCTGATGGGTTCTGTTCAGTTCTGTGAGGTTCTCTGTGGTTCTGTTGGGTTCTGTGTGGTTCTGTTGGGTTCTGTGTGGTTCTGTGAGGTCCGGTACTCACACTGACTCATCCACAGCCGCAGCGTCATCAGGACGTTGAAAGCCACCGTCTTCATGAAAATGACTCTCAGGCCGAAGATGGTGATGGAGGCCAGATTCACCATTTCATCTGCAAACAGCAGCAGCCATTAAAACACCGACCTTTCAACACAGCAGAGGTCATTGAGGTCACCGGGTTCAACCTACCTGGTTCCAGGTTGGCGTCACATTGGACCGGTTCTGTGCTGTTCCCTGGTCAGCAAACACAACAAGCAGCCATCAGTGAATCAGTGAATGAATGAATCAGTGAATGAGTGAATCAGTGAATCAGTGAATGAGTGAATCAGTGAATGAGTGAATGAGTGAATGAATGAATCAGTCAGACTCACCTCCACATGTCTCTCCTGCGGTCAGAAAGGCCACCTGGCTGAAGGCGCCTGTCGGTTTCCCATCAGCGTCTCTAATCGGACTCTGCGAATTGTTCTGAAAGGCAGTTTCATTCATTGTTGCATTGAGTCGAGTAAATCCAGTCGCCAGACAAACTGTGGTGCCGCCGTCGTCAATCGGACCCAGATCGTAAAAATCCGGTTCAACTTCATCCTCTGAAACACAGAAACAGAAATCATGAATATAAAACATTAAACCTTTTCGTTTCCTTCAGTGGCAGAAAGCTTGTGATGTCCTTCATGAGTCCGTTCACTGGTTCTGATCCGGTTCTGCCAAACCCGGCCAGAACCAGATGGTTCTGATCCGGTTCTGCCAAACCCGGCCAGAACCAGATGGTTCTGATCCGGTTCTGCCAAGCCCGGCCAGAACCAGATGGTTTCATTAATTCACTCATTCTTACAGATTTTATTGTTTTTGTTCAACTTTAAACTCGATTCTGGTTTAAAAAATGTCGAGTTTGTTTTTTGCTATATTTGATCCTCATTAAGATTTTAATTGAGCCAAATAATAAAAACATAAAGACGATAAATATAATAAATATAAATGTTTTACGGGTTTAAAGTGTCGATATGAAGCAGAACTGAATAAATCTGAGGATTTTGTTTGAAAATGATCCAAACTGTCGTTTCCTGAATCTGACTAATCTCATTAAAGTTATATAAATATTTTCTCTCACATATTTAATGGCTGATGTTGGATCAGAACCAGCAGCTGCTACACAACCAACCAGACCGACACAAAAACGGCGCTCCAGGGACGTCAGCTCACATTTAATACTTTTACACCAAATTACAAAAATGATTTTATTCATTAAGATCCAAAGAAATCCTCACTGAGTTTAAATCATTTTCTGCATATTTATTGAGATTAATTATTCATTTTAAACTGGAGGAAAAACTGATGGAACTGAATCTCAAATAAATTAAATGTAATAATTTTATATAAAATCCTGCAGCAGATTTTAGCTGCGATGTGAATAATTTAATTTGTTTGGTGATTTTTCATAAATATGAAATGTTAGGAATCAACTCACTGGCAGAAACAAACAGTTTGAGTCCAGATCCAAACATCAGCTTCACATTGTTGCTGTTCACACTGGAGTGGAACCAGTAACAGAAACCGGTTCATACTGGAACCAGCTCCAGGGTTCATACTGGACCAAAATGATCGATCTGAACTTCAGAATTAAACTGATTCATCCTTCAATATTTTCTGTTTATTTGGTAGAAACTTTAAGCATCTTTAAGGTGTTTCAATGTTTGGACCAAATTGTTGTAAAAATGAAAGTTTGGAGTTAAATTGATAAAAAACGTTGAATGGACTCACTTTGCTCCACTGACAGTTTGGTTCCGGGTCCAAACTGGATTTTATTGAGTCCAGTTTGTGTCACACAGCGACGCAGCGCCAGACAGAAACATGACGACAGATTATCCATCAGATTATCCACATTAAATCAGATTATTTTAGCTCTAAACCTGAGAAAATGTGATAATAATGAATAATATTTACATAGAATTAAATGAATTATTAACGTTTTCTCTTTAATTTAATGCATTTCTGACTCGATGTTTAAAACATGAAATTATTGATTTATGTGGAAATGATCTGAATGTTTTAGTTATTTGATCTGAGCTACAATTCAACATGTGATGTGAATTATTCGTCTGTTATTGTCAGAAACTAGTTTGAATGAATAAAAACTGAAGCTGATTTTGTTTTTAGATCATTTGACAGTTTTAGAAGTTTTCTGTTTGATGGAGAATTAATGATTAAATCACATTTTGCTTTAGAAAATAATGAGTTCCTGTAAAAGTGATTAAATCAGTGCTTCTCAATTATTTTCCGTTACGCCCCCCCTAGCAAGAAGAAAACTATTCGCGCCCCCACTCCCCACCGTGACTATCCATCTCTGCATAACATTTTTTCCTTATTAACATTAAAGAAAAAAAGAAAGACATGGTCAAACTTACAAAGAATAACTTTATTAAATTGTGTTTTAAGTCTGCAACAGAAAAGATTTTAAGTGCATCAATGCCTGAAATTAAAAATAAATAAATCCATGTCTACTGCTGCAGGCAGTATCAGCTCCTCTGCTATGGTGTGGGGCTTTTTGCACTGCGCAATTTGGTACGCCACCTTATATGATGCTAGCAGCGCTTGATGGTTTACTGAAGTAGCCTTCACAAAGCGGGATGACTGTTGGCAATATTCAGCACGTTTTCGCTGAAAAAACTCTAGCGGCTTATCGGCGTGATTGGGATGTAACGTATTTAAGTGACGCGCTCATTTATTTGGCTTCATGCTGTCCGCTGCGAGCATTTTTAGACACAGCAAACACACCGGTCTTTCCTCTTCTCCAACTGTAGTCACAGTGAAGCCAAGCGCTAAATACGCTTCGTCGTATTTCCTCTTCTTAGCTTTCGGTTGACTTTCTGTTGTCTCATTATCTTTGTCTCTCTCCGCTTTTCTTTTCATCCCTGTGAAAAACTTTTTCATGTTGGGGGTTGTTGAATAACGGAGGCCATAGACAGAACGCAGTCGGAGCTTTTTGTTGACTTAACACTGCTAACCAAGGCAAACCTGTTGTCTTGTAAGTCGTAAAATGTTGCACTGTCGCAAACGTGACAGAAGTAACAATGAGAGCGCCACTGCTGCCTACTGTGCGCAATTACACTTTATACTAGTACGGCCAAAAAAAAGCCTGTTCCCCAGGATCACACGCCCCCCCAGGTATCGCACCGCCCCCCCAAAGGGGGCGCGCCCACTATTTGAGAAGCACTGGATTAAATGAAGCGATGAATCGTGCTGAACTGGACTCACTTTGCTCCACTGACAGTTTGGTTCCGGGTCCAAACTGGATTTTGAGTCCAGTTTGTGTCACACAGCGACGCGGCGCCAGACCGAAACCCGACCGTTTCTGATCCATTAACTTTGATCAGATCCTGATTGTTGGTGAAGTTTATTAGAACTAAATCTTTGTCTTGGTTCAGCTGAAATCTTTTTCTGTTCAGATTTATGATTATTATTATTATTTAGAAAAATTTACAAATCGTGAAAATTTGAAGCATCAATTTTGACCTGCTGTGATGATTAAAGTTCATTTAAATAAATCTGTTTCCTCCAACTGCAATAATCTGTAAAAATGGTAAATATTTGACAGGCAGAAGGTTCCGGGTCCAAACAGCAGAACCTTCAGTTTCTCTCTGGTTCTGTTGGTTCTTTAGGGTTTAATTTGGATTAATCTGAGTTTAAAACCCATAAGATATTTTCTTTCACCTGTAATCTGATTCAGTAGAGAAATTGTTCTGATAACGACATAAAATGAACTGAGAAGTTTAAATCTCAACTAAAAACCAGTTTTATTAGAATATTTAATATTTAATAATGTTTATATGACTTTGTGTTTATGATGTGAAGCTCTTTGAAATGCCTTGCTGCTGAAATGAGCTAAACTAAAAACATTTGATTTGATTGTTTTTGCAAAGATTTAAAGAACAGAAATATTATTATTGCATAATAAAAATAATCATTATGACAATAAGAATAAAAGTTTGATTCAAACATTTCAGTAATCAGCTTCACACAGTAAAGATATTTATGTATTTTTGGATAATTTTTATGATTTAATGATGAATATTTTGAACTCACTCGTTTCCACGATAAGATTTACAGTTTGAAAAAAACTCCAGCAAAAACCGAACCGGTCGACGTTTGGTCATGTTTCATAAATTCAGCTTTTCTCTGCTGCTGATCCAGTTGAAATCAATATTTAAATGAAGCTGATTGATAATCAATCACTTCCAGTTAATTCTGGAGAAAACGCTGTTTGTGCCAGATTGTCAGGATATTTTCTTACGGTTCTGAACCTTCAGCTCGGTTTCGGACCCGAAGCGGATCTTCCAGGTCCCGTCGTTCACACACCAACATCCTGCTCAGCAGAAACTCCAGCATGAAACCGGCTGGTTTTAATCTGAGCAGATTAAATCCATGGTCCTCAGATTCAAGACAATTTTACATGTTTGGAGCAAAACCTTTTTTAATGAAAAAATAATGTTCTGCTCTCTTTACAAAACAAAATCATATCCAAGTTAAATAAACAATATGTTTCCTCAGATGTTTGATTCAATAATAACTGATTTATTAATGACCAAAGGATTTGAAGTCTAAGATGTAAATTATTTTTTTAAATCAAATTTCTGATTTCAGATTGAAAATGATAATTTTCAAAAGCTTTGAAATGATTCTGGAGTTGTAACAATTTATTAATCTCTGTTTATCGTGAAGCTTAATAAATTGAAATATCATTTAGACATGAATGTGAAATTCTTACTGGGTTGGATGAAAAGTGTGACTCCGCTGCCAAAGATGATTTTTCTTGCAGCGTCGTTCACACAGCTCACATCATCAACTCAGAAACCTACCAACTTTTAACACCAACAACGTTCCTGTCTGCGCAAAAAACTCTGAATAAATACCATAAAAATACTTCATTATCACCAGACGCGTGACAGTAAATTGGTTTTTATGGATTTATCCTTTAGAAAAATCACTAATCCTGACAAAGAGATTTCACCCAGAAACACAAAGTCAAGGCGTACGCAGACGATGTGAACGTATTCGACCCTAAAATGTAATAAATGATTAAAATGTAACAAAGTGATGAATCTTTGAGGCCTAAAATGTGACGCAGATGGAAATATTTGTGTTTATAAAGATAATATTTACTCAATACTGCAGACTCCAGAACCAAACAGGAGGTTCTGATCAATAACTGATAGATATGATCTAATTTTAAGTGGTTTCTGCTCAGTTTTTCCAGTCCCACCAGTTGGGACCCAACAGGAACCATCAGAGCAGCTAAAATTCATTTTAGCTGCATTTTAAATCTCATCCCGTATTTATGAGAATAATTTGGTCTTTAATCAAACCAAATCATTATTATTTATGAGTTTGGAGCCAAACTTTTGTTTGGTTCCTTCACCAAACAAAAGTTTATTCATATCTTAAATGATTTTCTGATATAAAAACATTTTCAGGTTTCAGGATTACAGTTTCTGAACGGTTTATGGTGAACTGGCTTTGTTTCCTCCCAGTGAATCCAGTTTGGATCTTCTGAGTTTCACACAGTGAGAACAGGAACAGAATCTGAGCTGGG